TTATTGAGATCCAAGGATAAGCCTTGATGATCTAATTTTAAAATTAGGTGAATTTAAGTTCAATTTGGTTTAAATTTATTTAAGAAAAAGATTTAGTTTTTTAATGATATTAGTGAGCTTATGATTGCTGTTATGTTTAGGTGATGAAGCTGGGACAACAGATGATTTTATGATTTTTAACAATTTATTGTCATGCTACTAATTTTTATTTTCGATTTCAATAAATATTTTTCAAACATGTTTTATATAAGACTGCAGAAATTAAGAAAACGATCTGAGATCTTTTTATCAATAGTTATTGTATATTAATAATTTTGTTTAGCGCCTGAAATGATCATGAAGATTGACTTCAAATATTTATTGTTGCAGATGAAAATCTAAATTCATTGCTAATAAGATTCTAAATATAAAAGTTTGTGTTGGCTTTTGCCGTACGATCATAAAACTATTTGGTAAGTTTCTACTTTGTCGTATGTCGTCTCCTGTTCGAGGTCTTCTTCCAATTCCGGGTAGTTTTATTATCGTTCGTAATATCGGCTCTGATCTATTGAGTCGTAGAGACATTTCGATTAAATTATTATCGTATAACATTTTGAAAATGTTTTTGTCTAAATTCTAATCTATTTTTGGTTAATTCTAAGCTATTAAGGTCTTATTCGAGACTTATGGTCGCACCAGATGATTTAGGACCGATGTGGTTAACTCATAGAGTAATTTCGGATAGGATACACCGTCTGCTCGTCACGCTATCTTATTTTCGGCCGGATAGATTCGTGCAACTTCTTAGTCTAATACCGATCCTAATCTTACTCTTATACTTTCTAGTCTCAGGCTGTTTAACTAGTCTCTGCTAGGCTCAATCGATCTAGGGTATACTGGTTTGTTGCGGCTGCTGAAGTTCTCTTGGAGAGACAACTAATTTCAAAGTTAAATTCAAATCTCTCTGGTGCTGAAATTACAAGTAATTTCAGCACTTACAAATAAGTGGGTTGTTAGTTAGATGGATCATGATTGGTTAATATTAAATACTTTACAGTGGTAAAATATCTAATTTATCCAATCATAAAATGTAGTTTAGATCAGGTTCCAATGCTTAACCTCGAAACAGTGCAAAGAATTTGCACAAAAAAAGACGTGCATTAATCTGCAGAGACGTGCAAAAAAAGACGTGCAGATCTATCCTGGGTCTGGTAAGAGGAGGGTTCAAGTGAAGGATGAAGAACCGAAGTTCTTCACTGTTTATCCTAATTTGAATGGTTAGTTTTATTTAAAAATTTCTATTAGTCTTGGGTCTTTTGGAAGGGTTGGATAGTGAATCGACGTTTGAGGTCGTTAGACACTTGTTAAGTGGGTGGGGGAGAACAAAATTGTTCTTTTTGACCCAAGGATAGGCCTTGATGATCAGGTTTTAAATTTAATGAAATAGAAAATTTATTGAGATCCAAGGATAAGCCTTGATGATCTAATTTTAAAATTAGGTGAATTTAAGTTCAATTTGGTTTAAATTTATTTAAGAAAAAGATTTAGTTTTTTAATGATATTAGTGAGCTTGGAGAGACAACTAGTTTGGAGAGACAACTAATTTCAAAGTTAAATTCAAATCTCTCTGGTGCTGAAATTACAAGTAATTTCAGCACTTACAAATAAGTGGGTTGTTAGTTAGATGGATCATGATTGGTTAATATTAAATACTTTACAGTGGTAAAATATCTAATTTATCCAATCATAAAATGTAGTTTAGATCAGGTTCCAATGCTTAACCTCGAAACAGTGCAAAGAATTTGCACAAAAAAAGACGTGCATTAATCTGCAGAGACGTGCAAAAAAAGACCTGCAGATCTATCCTGGGTCTGGTAAGAGGAGGGTTCAAGTGAAGGATGAATAACCGAAGTTCTTCACTGTTTATCCTAATTTGAATGGTTAGTTTTATTTAAAAATTTCTATTAGTCTTGGGTCTTTTGGAAGGGTTGGATAGTTTGTGTTGGCTTTTGCCGTACGATCATAAAACTATTTGGTAAGTTTCTACTTTGTCGTATGTTGTCTCCTGTTCGAGGTCTTCTTCCAATTCCGGGTAGTTCTATTATCGTTCGTAATATCGGCTCTGATCTATTGAGTCGTAGAGACATTTCGATTAAATTATTATCGTATAACATTTTGAAAATGTTTTTGTCTAAATTCTAATCTATTTTTGGTTAATTCTAAGCTATTAAGGTCTTATTTGAGACTTATGGTCGCACCAGATGATTTAGGACCGATGTGGTTAACTCATAGAGTAATTTCGGATAGGATACACCGTCTGCTCGTCACGCTATCTTATTTTCGGCCGGATAGATTCGTGCAACTTCTTAGTCTAATACCGATCCTAATCTTACTCTTATACTTTCTAGTCTCAGGGTGTTTAACTAGTCTCTGCTAGGCTCAATCGATCTAGGGTATACTGGTTTGTTGCGGCTGCTGAAGTTCTCTTGGAGAGACAACTAATTTCAAAGTTAAATTCAAATCTCTCTGGTGCTGAAATTACAAGTAATTTCAGCACTTACAAATAAGTGGGTTGTTAGTTAGATGGATCATGATTGGTTAATATTAAATACTATACAGTGGTAAAATATCTAATTTATCCAATCATAAAATGTAGTTTCAGCACTTACAAATAAGTGGGTTGTTAGTTAGATGGATCATGATTGGTTAATATTAAATACTTTACAGTGGTAAAATATCTAATTTATCCAATCATAAAATGTAGTTTAGATCAGGTTCCAATGGGCTAAATGATATGTAATATTTAAAAAATTATCAGTCGAGATTCGAGCGACATTAAAATATTTTCAAAATTTTTTCTCGGTGTTGAGAAAAATCTGTTTGAATTTTTGATTTTTGGTCTAATTTCGAGCGAATGAAGTGAGCGAGCTGGCTTATTCTGTTTTCCAGCCAAAATCAGTTACTACAAAAAATGAATTAAAAAAATTTCAGATTTTTTTTGAATTTTCTATGATTTTGTTTTCGCTCATGTCAATTTTTTAGACAAAAACTGTAGTCCAATTTGCTTGTTTTTTTTGTGACTGTCACATATGCTTAAGTTCTAGGCTTTCTTCTGATCTTTTATCACACCACGCACAAAAAACTACACTAATTTTGGAAGTATTTTTCTCAAAATTATTGTCGAATCAATTTGTGCTACTTGCACAAACCGGCTATCCGTTTTAATTTTCAAAATCGAATGCCTTACAATGCATATTTTTTGTCTTTTAACCGTTTTTGGAGCCGTTTTTTCCGCGTTTTTCTTTTTGAAGGTGTATTTTTGTATTTTTGAACAGCTTCCTTGATAAAGTATTGAATTATGTTCACTTGCCTTGTAGGTTCCTGTTCTTGCACGGACAATGACCCCTCCTTCACCCGAGTGTCAGATGTGAACTGGACGGTACTGATTGTATGGCCATAGTGAGTGACCATACATTCGAACTAGTGTCTCTCTCCTAGACTACTACACTCGATATGTGTACTTCGCAGACGCATCCTACAACTATATACACGCTGTGGACTACTTCGGAAAGAACAGGTATCTAATTGTTGGGAACTTTTCTAGTTTCTATTGGGACAAGGGGAACTTTTTATTGAATTTTTCTTTTTATTGAAGAGCATAATTCTCTAGATGTATAAATTTGTGAAAGCCCAAGAAACAAAATTGTCATGTTCCAATTGACAAACAGTTGGAAATGAAACATTCAAAAAGTTTTTGCCGCTGAAAAATACAAAAAAAATGAATGTTAATTTAGCAAATATTCGATTGTCTTGATTTGAGAAAACTCAGTCCTTTTTAAAGGATTCTTATGCTTTTTCATGAAAGCTGTTTTTGTTGTTGAAATCGTTCATTCAAAAAAGGAATTGGTCACCAATTTTCCGTAAAAATTTACTATATTAAGTTAGGAATCAATTCAGGGGCGGATCTAAGATTTTCTCCAGGATGTTCATACCTTTTTTGTTTTTAGGTCGACAAAATTGATTTTCCGAGCTCTCCAAAGCATCAAAAAGAGCCTGTTTTGGTCCAACTTTCTGCGCCGCAAGCAAAATTTTGTAAAAAAAAAACATGTCAAAAAACATGCGGTTTTAGGCACTTTTTGGGAAAGTTTGACCGCTCAAATTTCTTAATATGTTGGCGCCGAAAATGCCTTTGAAAAAATTTAAAAACCGTCACCAAAAATGGATGTCTCAAAATAGTACATATAGGACCCTTTGGGTCGGGCAGGGGGTCGAATCCCTAAGGAGGAAGGCGTCTGCCCCTCCCCCTCCCTCTTAAATCCCCCTGACTCAATTTGGATGACATTTTTGAATGGGGCTTCTAGATTCCAAAAAAATTGTTATACTGGGTCTTACTCCCGTACTAAATTGTAGATGTTGCAAATTTAATAAAGTATTTATTATTTTTTGAAGCTAAGAACTTTTTTTAACTTGGCTGTCTAGAGCGCGTTAAGAGGGAGCGCTATTACAATCGTAAAACAGCTAATTTTAATCCCATTGCTTTGGCAACAAAAATCAGCTTCGAATAAACCCAACACAGTGATTAAGGAGTTCACTTTGAGATTGCCAGATCGTGAGTTCGATCCCCTGCATGGCAATGATAGTGTGCGCGAACGCGTTGGCATTTAACCTCTAGGTTCAGGTTTACCACAGCCAGACCAATTTCGACTGCAATTGTGGAACCCACGCTGAAGTTCTGGAAGCAAAAAAAAACGGCTTTAAGTCGTAAAAAGAGAGCTTCGCTTAACAAAATAACTTAGTCTAGAATGTGGGGGAAATAAGAAAAAACGGACTGTGCTTAGACAGGCCTGATAGCCTTTCATAGATTTTCTGGCTAATTGAGGAAACGCCTCAAGTTTTTTTGTCTAATTCTTATCTATTTTAGACATGTGATTTTGTCTTTGGCATAAGCACGTTCCGCAACTCACTTCGATCGACGTCTTCATGGACTACATTTTATTGTGCTGATGTCACCCTGCCGATCCATCGGAATTTACTCCAAGTTTGGAAACTTCTCTGGGAAATGACCCCTCGCAAGAGGAGAACCAAATTCATTCAGACTGGCAGATCACACCACTCAATCACACTGCTTCATCCCCTTAAAGAAAAAAAGCCGAATATAATACGTGAGCAGCATTCAAAAATTAGTGATCTGACTCCTACAGACTAATTTTGAAAGCCTTTTTAGGTTTTTGACCTGGTTAGCTGAAAAATAACAGATTAAACCAGTGGGCGGATCTAAGATTTTCTCGAGAGGGGTAGGGCGGATTTTCAAAAAATTTTGTCGATTTTTTTTTAGGTCGGCCAAATTGATTTTCATGAGCTATCCTAAATCACTATGAAGACCCCATTTTGCATTTTGACCAACCTTCTGTGGCGCCGCAGGCAAATTTTCGCCAATGTTTGAAAAATTTGAACCAAAAGATAGAGTTTTTTCTGCGCGCGCTCCCCCCTCAAAATTTATATATATATTGGCGCCCTAAGGCGCCCTTAGAAACATTTTAGGGTACGTCGACCAAAATGGATATCTGAAAATATTACAAAGGGGACCTTTTGTGTCGGCATGTGGGTTGAATCCCCTGAGGGGAAGGCGTTCGCACCACCCCACCCCCCCCCCCCCCCCCCCCCACCCCCTAAATCTGCTGATGGATTAAACATTACGATGTCTTAAAGAGGTTTTAGTTGTTTTGCAATTAAACATACTTTTTGAACTTTGTTCATTTTTGGAATATTAAATATCAATGGGTTCAAATTGCATATATTTACACGAGCTTAGCGTAGTGTGATAGTACGATGCAGCTTTTTTTTATCCAATTTAAGTCGCAAATAGAAGTGCTACTTTGATGGCTCTTTGAATCAGTAGGATTCATTGGCACTGTATAAACATCCGGTTTTGACGCTTGGTTACTAATAAGTTAACTCAATTGATGCTTTCCTAGTTCGTCAATTGAACCAAAAAAGCTATTTGTTTCATGCAACAGTATAAAGATTAAAGTATCATTTCAACAATTTTCGAACTCGATATATCTGCGAGTTTTTTGAAATGCATGATATATGCAATTTGGTTAAATATATTCTAATACCTACTTCGATTTTTTGTGCAATTTAAAGCTTCTGCATCTTGTCCGTTGTCTCGCCTCGTGTTTAAAAGTTCACTTAAGGCTGTGGAAAATTAGTTTCTGCATTCTATCTTAGCGCTTCCCCAGCGCTAATAAATGCAAAGGCTATAAAAAGTTCTTTTATAAAACAGTTTTCATTAATGTTTTCTTACGCGAGCTTGCAAGTCTGTTATTATAATGCAATTTCATTTTTTCAAACTTAATTAGCAATTGAAAGTGCTCAATTAAGTGGCCTTTTTGTTGCATAGTTTTAGCAATAGCATTGACAGGAATTTAAACGGAAAGCAGTTTGTACGTCACTAAACAGAAACTTAACCGTTGATTGTTTTTCAAACTTAAAACTTTGGAAAAGTTCAAATCGCTGTCAAAATTTATTGCTTAAAACAAAACTTCGTAAATACAAAAACAATAAAAAATTCCATTGCATATCAAAGTTTTTACTCTTATTGATTCAATCTGAATTAAGGTTTCACTCTAAAACGATAAACCAATATTTTAAACATTTCTGAGTTGCAACGGGATGATTTGCCAACTATCTTAATACGCTATTTAAAAGTTTTTCAGGTGCAAAAAAGACAAAAAAATGCAAAATGTTTAACAAACGACAAGAAGAACATTACTTTCAAAAGAATAGAATTATCATATGACTTTATTTCAAAAGCCCAAAGATCATGAAAACTTTTTTGTATGAAACTGAACTTTGTGCCAGTTTCGTCATTTTTTCTAAATGTTTGGATGAGTTAACTTACTTCTGAGTTGGAACAACACCAATTTTCTTGAGTTTCATTTGGAATCATGTGAGAGCCTTTTTTTATTAAATATTCTTCAGAAGCAGAGAAATGCAGGGGTTGTGCAATAAAAAAGAATCAAACATTTTTTGATCCGGTAACATTCATTTAACTGATATCAAAAGTAACACATAAATTGTGAGACACGAAATTTGGATCAGAGTTAGGGCAGCTTTTGGGTTCAACGGTTAACCAGTAGTACAAAAATTACAATCACATAGATGTCTTTCTGACCATATAGTTGGCTTTTGTGGAAAGTTTTAGTAAAAACTATAGTTTAGTTTTTCTACATGTTGTTTTAATTTGGTACTTTTCCAAGAATCTTCAAGATTCTTGCAAGAGAACCGTCTTAAAATAATTCTGGAAAAATTTTACCGTAAGCGTTGCAATTGACTCGTTTAATTGTTTGGATGAGTTTACTTACTTTTGACTTGGAAAAACACTACCTTTGGAAAAACACTTAGGAAGCAGAGAAATTCCGTTAATGTGTAATAAAAAAAGAACCGAACACTTTTTGATCCAATAACAAAACAATTAAAAAAAGTTCGATTCCAGAATTTTCAAACATCAATGTATCTCGCAATTCTTTGAAATGCATATTTTATACGTATTTGGCTTTATTCTTTGCAATTTTTAACATGCAAATGTAGTGTCAATGCCTTCATTTTGTTTTATTTCTAATTATTACTGGCAAAAATGTTTCTATTTGTATTTGCTGCCACCTTTGCTGAATTGCATTGGCAATTTATTAGCATATGTAGTTGCTTTTTTCGTGAGTAGTGTTTGTCGGTGGTTAAGCGTGCGTGGCTGAGTGATAAGGACATGAGCCTTAAAATACCTTGATTGCAGTAGATCGCAGATCGAATCCTAGACCTAGCCAAATTTCCGCTAATTAGAGGCTGATTTTTGTGTTTTCTTTTTGTACTTTTTAGAATTGTTTTTTGTCGTGTTCTTGCTAGTGTTTGCGATGGAAAGCTTCGCCTTTGTGTTAATTTGGTTCTCTTGCAAGAATCTTCAATATTGTGCAAGAGAACCGGTTTGAACCAATTTCTGGAAAAAAACTATACTCTAAGTGTTGCAGTTGACTCGTTCAATTGTTTGGATGATTTAAATTACTTTCGAATTAGCAAAACACCAATTTTCATGAATTTAATTTAAAAATTTTCAAGAGCCACCTCAATTGTTAATAATCTTGAGAAACAGAGAAAAGCAGAGATTTTTGTAATTTAAAAAAATCAAAAACTTTTTGATCCGGTAACATTCTGTTATTTGCTATCAAAAGAAACACATTAATTTTGAGACACGAAATTTGGGTTAGAGTTAGGTCAGCGTTTGGGTTCAATAACTAACCACTAGTAAAAAAAATTACCATCACATAGATCTCCTTCTGACGATATAATTAACTCTTATAAATATTTTCATTAAGCATTTTAGTTTAGTTTTTCTACATTTTTCGACTTAAACTAATTCTGGAAAAACTATACTGCAAGGGTTGCAATTGACTCATTTAGTTGTTTGAATGAATTTACTTAATTTTGACTTAGAAAAACACTATTTTTTCTACATTTTATTTTTGATCATGTTAGAGCCGCGTTATTTATAAATATTCTTAAGAAGCATAGAAATGCAGAAACTTTTTTTGATCCAGTAACCATCAGTTAACTGCTATCAAAACTAACACAAATTGTGAAACACAAAATTTGGGTTACAGTTAGGTCAGCTTTTATGTTCAACGGTTAACCAGTAATAAAAAAAATTACCATCATATAGATCTCCTTCTGACTATATAGTTAGCTCGTGTAAATAGTTTCAGTAAAAATTATAGTTTAATTTTTCTATATGTTAACTATTTTAATTTGGTTCTTTTGCAAGCATCTTCAAGATTCTTGCAAGAGAACCGACTTAAGCTAATTCTGAAAAAACTATACTGTAAGGGTTGCAACTCACTCGTTTAGTTGTTTGAATGAGTTTACTTACTTTTGCCTTGGAAAAACACTAACTTTCCTACATTTTTTTTGAATCAGGTAAGAGCCGCCTTATTTTTGAGCATTCTTAAGAAGCAGAGAAATGCAGATACTATGTAATAAAAAAAAACTAAACACTTTTTGATCCAGTAACCATCAGTTAACTGCTATCTACAGTAACACAAATTTTGATACAAAAAATTTGGTTTAGAGCTAGGTCAGTTTTTGGGTTCAACGGTTAACTAGTAGTAAAAAAACTATCATCACATAAAATGATAATAAAATGATAAGAAATGATCTCTTTCTGACGATATTGTTAGCTCGTGTTAATATTTTCAGTAAAAATAAAGATTAGTTTTTTCTACATGTTGTTTTAATTTGGTTCTTTTGCAAGAATCTTCAAGATTGTTGCAAGAAAACTGACTTAAACCATTTTTTGGAAAAAATTTACTGTAATTTATAGTGAAATAATTTACACAGTTTTATTTGCAAAATTCTTGAATGAACAAAGCTATCTTGCAAAATATCTATATCCTATTAACTAAGACAAAAACAGATTTCTTTTTTTTTTGTTTTTTTCTTCAAGTTAGTCTTGCTCTTTTTTTATATTGCCAAAAAAGCGCTGAATGAAGGTTCCACAAGTAATTTTTGATTTTCAAAATCAAGTTTTCTTAGCCTAAATGATCAATTTTAGACGTTCGAGATTTCAATTGCTCGAAATTAGACTCGCTTGACTCGCTCGAAGTTGGACTTACTCGAAACTAGACTGAAATTCAAAAATTTTGAGCTATTTTTCTCGACACTTTGGTTTTAATCTCGACTGAAAGGGTTTTAATATAATTTATCACTCGACCCATTGCGATGATTAGTTGTGGTACTTGATTTTGAGACAAAAAAAATACATAAGAGTTGGGCCATTCAAACACATTTCAAACACATTAGAGTTGGGCCATAATAATGACGTGTATTTAGGAGATGACCCTTGTGCGGATGGAAATGGAGGCTGTTCTGAGATGTGTGTTCCAACAATCAGAGGGGCCAGTTGCTTATGTGGGGCGGGTAAACAATTGCATGAGGATGGCGTTTCATGCCAAGGTTTCTTTCATTATAATCTTTTAGTTGTTATTTTATGCTAAAAGTTAGAGTGTGCTAAGAATTATCAAAAAGAGATATGAGAAAAACAAAATGCTTCCAAATTAAAGCTTCACTAAAACCCTAAGAATGCATGCTCAACTGACACAACTTTTCTGAGATTAAAAAAATATATATTTTCAGGTATTTTTTCTCTGAATTTTGTTATTTAAGTACTAGAACTTTAAACTCAGATTTATAAAAACAAGTACTAAAAATTAATAAGGACTGAAGTTCGAATGAGAGTGAGTACAGAAAGTCTGAAAAACTAATAGCCAACTCAACTTATAATGCAAAAAAGGAAGTGTGCTGTTTCAGCCCCTGTGGACTTCCTCATTGTAACTGAGGGCTCTTCAGTTCGCGGCATTGAGATCGGAGCTTCCCAGGGTGAGCCAATGGTTCCTGCAGTGTCCCACTCCACTGACCACTCGTCACTCTTCCTCGCAGTCGACTTCGACTTCACTTCTGGCGCCACTTTCTTCACCGAATTCAATTCCGAGTCGGTCATCATGAAGTCACTCCACGAGCCCATGAAAGGTGATGGTATGATACATGCAAAAGGGACTGTAATGGTCAAATTCGAGATTTTTTGACCATTAAAGAAATTCGATTTTTAGCTGAATGCTGCCTTGAATTACATTGGTATTATTTGGATAACAAGCGATCTTATTTCCATATCATCCACAATCCCTACCAGGGGCGGATCTAGGATTTTCTCGAGGGGGGGGGGGGGGGGGGGCGGATTTACAAAAATTTATGAAAATTTTGTCGACCTTAGTTTTTTTTAGGCCGACCGAATTGATTTTTCGAGATCTCCCAAAGCACTAAAAGTTCCTGTTTTGGACTAGTTTTTCAAGCACTTTTTGGAAAATTTTGACCAAAAAACCGCATTTTTTCGGCGCGCGCTCCCTCCTCAAAGTTAGTATATATTGGCGCCAAAGGCGCCTTTAGAAAAGTTTTAAGATCCGTCAGCCAACAATGGATATCTCAAAATAGTACAAAGGGGGGACTCTTTGGGTCGACAGGGGGTCGAATCCTTGAATCCCCCCCTAAATCCGCCCGTGATCCCTACCCTTGTAATATCTATAGGACGTTTCATAGAGCTAGTTTTTTTTTGCTATAACGGCATGAGGCTCACTGCAATAATTTTCAGAGTAATTTCAATTTTTAAGCTTTTTGAGCAGTAAAGATGTTATATATTGATCTTCCTTTAGAATTTTTACTTGATTTTTGCTATCCACCCGCTTATCTGCTTCATAGCCCTATAAGAGGTGTCAAAACCCTGTTTATGTATGTTTGCCAACAGATGAGTCATTTGTGTGGTCCAAGTGGTTTTACCAGCCAGAGGGAATGTCCTATGACTGGACTGCCAAGCTGCTCTATGTGACAGACTACAAGTTCGCCACTCTGACTGTCGTGCAGCCGTTCAAGAAACAAGCGCGTATCCTCAGGGATGACTTGAGAGGCGCAAGGTCCATTGCTGTCCATCCCGCAAAGGGGTAAGGGGAAATTTAGGGGGCTACTCTTATGACAATGATATAAGTTTAAAACGACACAAACTCGCTGTGCCTATGTCTAAAAAAATATCTATAGCAATTAGTTTTCGTTCAGCCCGGAATAAGTTTTTTATTAACTTTATGATGTGGAGCTGTGGTCTTATTAGAAGCAAACACGAGATAAAAACCATTCGCAGAGCATTATATCTGGTCTATTTTTCAGCTATGCTTTCGTCATCATGGATGGCGGATCAGCTTATCAGTCCTCTATTGCTAAAATAGCCCTGAGTGGTTCCGAGAACCCAACAGAGCTCGTATCCTCCTTGCTCGTCTACCCGGATAGTCTCTCAATTGACTTCGAAGCAGGCAAACTCTACTGGAGTGATTATTCCAAACCCAGCATCGAAATGGTCAATTTTGATGGATCTAGTCGACACATGCTACCCATTAACCGTGAGTCTGAAAAAGAAAGAATTTCCGAACCATTCTCGTTCATTATGAAGATGAGAGCAGTGATATTGCAGCTATTGGACCTAGTGAACACTCCTCTCCGAGGGGGTTACGGGCGGAGAAGGGGAATTATTACGGTTAATGCTCAACTTTCCGAGCGCCCTGTTTATGGAGGGTATGCTATTGCTATTTGCGGCTGATTGAACAGCGCGTCGGTTCCACCACTTGAAGGCGGTGCATTGTGGACCCGTGATTATTGTTCTGTGTTTTGGACCCGTGATTATTGTTCTGTGTTTTAGCTCGGTTTCTCACCTCCCCCTCGGGACTGAGTGTGTTCGGTGGCTTTGTCTACTGGGCAGATGGCCACACTTCCTCAGTGATGAGAGCCCGTACCCTAACTGGAGAAGAAGCACAGGTGGTTCACTCTGGTATACTTGGACTGGAAGACGTTATAGTTTTCACTGGCTCATACCAGCAAACTGGTCAGAATACTTTTTCTTTCATTTTCTTCGTCTCATTGATTTTTACAGGTGAATTAAAGAAGTGAGTTCTCACTTTTCGCTGGTATTTTTATGCAGTGGAAAATGCGCAGAGAGGCTGTTCGACTTTTATTTTAAAAAGCTGATTTTAATTTTAGAAATCTCAGCAGAATAAAAAATGGCATTAAACTTAGTTATCTGTGTCAATATTATCAAAAAAAAAGATGACGTGTGGATTAGAAAAAAAAATCACAAAAATTGTAGCATTTATGCCCTTTTTCCTGCTATTTGACTTAGCATTTTTTTTGTCTGGCAAACCGGTAAAACTTGCTATGCTTGACAAACTAAAAGCGACAACCTGGTTTTCTACAATGGTGAATTTAGAATTTTGTTAAAAACTAAAAATTCTATTGTGAAAATGCTTTTGTGTGTAGTGACGAGTGCTTGTTCTGAGGACAACGGAGGCTGTGATGGCTTCTGTCATCCCATCACCGACGGGGTCAACAGAGTCTGTTCATGTCCCTTCGGGTCCACGCTGCAAGGCACCACTCAATGTGTAGACAACGCAGCAGGTAACTATAGTGCTCTATTTCCGTTTTAATTACCCTCAAACCCACGCCTAGTCCACACACATACACACAACGGCACATTTGGAATTTGAATAGAAAAAGCATGTACGGGTTTTTTTTCCAATGAGAATTCTTAAGCGTGTCAATTGCTCAAATCCAGACATCTTTGATCTCTTTACTCAGCCTTGCTTGTAATTATAATTGGTTACCCGATGCCATTTATGCTCATATGTTTTAAGGAAAAAGAAATGGAAGCAAGTTTACTCACAACTGAGCCTTCATTCAAAAAATGGCAAAATTGAAAAACACCAAAGCATTCAGCTGGTAAAATCTGGCTCTGGGTACAGGCTTATTGGCAATACCAATCGATGAAATTGGTTTTTGGAAATAGTCAAGCGAGGTTTAGAATAGCTTAATTAAATTTTTTGGCAACGAATCCTTCTTTCGAAATGCTAAAAGAAGTGCCAGTCAGTACAACGAGAGTATTACGGTCTTGGATTTTGGTTTATGTTTATTGACCGGGCGAACCATGACTAGATATAAAGAACTGCGATGTGAAAACAACTACCGTACCACATTAATTTGGTCACAAACAATCACCTACTCATAAAATTATTGGGAAATGATCAATTTCTCCTGACATCGACGGTTTCATAGAAGGTAGTATTTATTGTTCCGACTTTCGATACGAAAGTAACGGAATATTTGTGCTCGGGGTGGGTTTTTTTTTCTTCAGACAAATTTCGACTTTTTAACTAGCCATTTTTGACGGAATTTTTTTATATCATTCGAAAAGTACTGTTGTCCTGAGCTCAAATTTGAAAAGATATTTCACCTGTGATCTTTTTTCGTAAAGCTACGGGGGTTTAAAGATTGCCATTTTGGCCAATTAGGGACAATTAATGTGCGATATATTTCGCGCTCTCAACGCGTAAGCGGAGAGTTAATCCGTCTTAGAAATCGTTCCAAATTGGTTAAAAGAAGCTTATTCGCGGTAATTGGTTTGTTACAAGGAGTAAAATTTATCCTTTTGTACTTTAAATGGCGTGTGGGGGGATGATTTTCATTAAAAATTTCAAATTTTAGAAAAAAAATTTTTCATTTTGTTTTATTTCATTGAATTTTTTAATATTATTACTGCTCCATAAACCTTAAAAGGCAGTCGGAACATTCAGGGCTTCGCCTTGATACGAGCAGTCTTGTTTCGTTTGTTGTCAGAATTGAGCTGGTCTTGTGAAGATGGCTTGAATGAATGCAGAAACGGGAGGTGTGTGGACGAAGAGTACTTCTGCGACGGAGACAACGACTGCTTTGACAACTCGGACGAGAAACACTGCATCAGTTAGCCGTCATTTTTCTCTATTTTTTTTGTTCTTGTGATTTTGCCCCTCGTTAATTTAGTAACTTCAGTTGATTAGAACTTCCCTTTAAAAACGGACCTTTGATTAAAAGGTTACTTTGTCATAGTGAGCCAAATTAGTCAACGAGACTAGAAAATAAAAATTGAGAGACAATGGAATTATTGACTATCAGTCAAATAAAGTTGACCTCCATTTAATTCAGGGGAATCGCGCGCATTTTTTTCGTGAAATTTTATTTTACTCAAATTTGGGCCCGACTATTGATATCAGGGGCGGATTTAGGGGGGGGTGCGAACTCTCCCCCCTCAGGGATTCGAACCCCTGCCGACCCAAAGGGTCTCCCCTTTGGTAATTTTTAAGAAACACAGTTTTGACCGTTGAACCCTAAAAATTTTCTACAGGCGCGTTCGGCGCCAATATATACTAATTTTAATGCCTTTTTTGGATTGTTTTTGCAAAATTCTGCCTGCGGCGCCGAAAGTTTGGCCCAAACAGGGGCTAAACCGAGCTTAGGGAGAGCTCTTAAATTCAATTCGGTCGACATTAAAAAAAGTCGACAAAATTTTCTAAAATTTTTTGAAAATCCGCCCCTCCTCGAGAAAATCCTAGATCCACCCCTGATTGATATGATTTATATTTAATGTTTTTTATAAATTAGACTTGCTGCTAATATTTCTTCTGTTGATACTATCTATGCTTATTTTATAGTTTATTGCTACCATTTCTAGACAAAAAGTTGGACCTTCGCAGTCATTTTTCAAGTGAGCCAAATTAACGTTCTTCGAAAGGTGATGAAACCGAAAACGTTCTTCGAGAAATGAGTCGAAAAAGGGCGAACGACTTTCAGTTTTCGGAAATTGTTACTCAAATATTTAGCAAGAAGATAGATGTTCTGACCATTGAAAGAAAAGAGGAACGTTGTTTTTGAGCGTGTTTTTTTGTTTCTTTTTAAAACCAGGTAACACAAACAATGACCAGGAAAAGTTGAATGTTATTACCCAAGCGGAGCGTACTGTATTATAACGAAGAATTTTTTCTAGCCTAAATTGCAAATAAAAATGCTCCTTTGGTGTCACTTTTGGTATATTTCAAATTAATCATGTTTTTGCTTTTTTATGAATTGACAATTTAAAGGTATATGTTGCGGCATTATCTTTGGCTAGTGTGAGGTCATGTTTGAAAAAATCGTGTAATATGAAAACGTATTGGGATTTGGAATGCGATGCTTTGGAAAATTTTTTGCTCTTCTCGCAGAAATTTCAATTTTTCTCAAAAATTTCTACGCCAATTTTCAGCAAAAAATGTACCATTTGAAAAACCGGCTGCTTTTCTATGTACCTGGCATTTTTTGCTAGTTTTTTTTTTTCATTTTACTTTACCTTCTACGGCCTTCAAGAGTTCAGAAGGGTGACTTTTGTTAGAGCCTAAGTGTTTTAAAAGTTTATTTTCTCAAATATTGAATGCGTAAAACTGAGATGAAGGTTTCAATCGAAATAAAAATTCATAGGGACTTCTTTTTCTCAAAATACGGTTATTCCCCAATTTCGTTAGAAAAAAGATATGGTCTCAAAAAAGCCCATTTTTTGTCATTTGGGTCAATTTTTGAAACTTTGACTTAAAACCTACGCTGACCAATCGAAGAATAAGGTTTTAAACGTTATGCCGCTATGCCCTGCGTTTAACTGCTTATGGGTTTAACCGCTATAACCGCTAAGGGTTTAAAAAATGGCCTGAGAAAATGTCCAACTTTTGAATTTTTGCCGTTTTTTTAAAAGTTGTTTTTTTTTTCAAAAAATAACCTGCTGATTCTGAGGTTTTTAGTTCAATAAGTTTTAGCATAGAGCTCAGTTTTTCCCTGCGTAATCTTTTTACCCTGTTTTTTTTTTAGAAAATCTCATATAGACTTCGGGAAATTCTTTTTCAAATTTTTACCGTTTTTTTAGAAGTATTATCCTTTTTTTCAAGAACTATGTGCTAAATCTGATATCAAGGGTTCAAATTAGCAAAACAGGGTGCCAAAATCTTCAATCTAAAAATCAGGGAATGGATAGCAGAGGCTATTCTTATACTGTAGAAGAGAAAATTTGTGGATTGAGGAAAAGTCAAATTTTTGAATTTTTGTTCGGTTTTTTGAAAACTATCCAACCAAATCTAAAATAAAAACTTCAATTGAAAAACCGAGTAGTAGTTTTAACAGTGCGATTCCTAATGAACAAATCGGATATTCAAATCCGGAGCATTTAAAAAGTATTATGTTTTCGGTAGAATTTTTGCTCCATAATCTTGGCAATTTTATAGAAACTGTTGCTGCTTTATTAGTGGCTAGTGTTAGTAAAATTACAAGCGGTCATTTGGCAGATGTGAGAACATGATACGCCTAATCTCAAGAATTTTTTTAAGGTGTATTTAAAATCTTCTCCGGTTTTCACTTTGTTTTTCCTGTTTTTAGCTCTTTTTTGCATTTTCCTCGCTGGTGTTTGCGAGGAGCAGCTTCGCCTCAGTCTGTCATAATGAAGCCCATTCAGTTCATTTTCTTGTGTCGAGAGAAACTAAGTTCTATAATTTTATTCAGAGCCTCTTGTCCTACCGCGAACATAAAAAACGGCACAGTTTGAAAAGAATCTGTTTTTTTTCTAGTTTTTTATTTTTGTAGTTACTAGCACAGCAGCCGGATATCGTTATTTTTCTTGGCATTTCTCGAGTTCATTGCCCTTTTTCCTAATGTCATATAAAGCTATTCTTTTTTGTATGTTAGGTTGCAGCTCTTCTGCCATCAAGTGTGACAATGGAAACTGCGTGAATGGGGCGTGGCTGTGCGATGGATGGGACGACTGTGGGGACATGAGTGACGAGTCAGGGATGTTTTGCGGCACGGGGTCTGTCTCCTGTAGGGAGGACCAGTTCGCATGTGGCAACCACCAGTGCATTGATCAGCTGTGGCGATGTGATACTAGTTAGTAGAAGTTACATAACTAGTCGATACAGGCAATTAGATGTAATAATGAAATATTAAAAGTACGATTTCTCTAGTTAAGGTACCCGTTTTATTGGTCCTGAAATGTTTTTTTTTAACCCAATTAAATTTCTTGCGTTTACCTTTCGTTTTTTTTGAATACTCTCTGATAGCTAATGGCAATGTTTTTACGCAGCCAAGCTGTGACCTGGGTAGGAGCACAATTTGATGTCTGTAGATCATTATAATCAAGAGACGTGTCTTTAAACATGTTCCAAAATATAAGTGGCTTTCACTTACAAAATTGCAGTGGATTACGCGTACAAATAGCTGTAACGTAAGATTTGTCGGCACATTAATTTTGTCGTGGATTCCAGAACGAGCAAGTGTAGCTAGTTGTTCTGAACTGTGCAATTTTAAGATGGTTCTGTAAACTGCAAGCGAATTCCGCAAATGTAATTGGATTCCACAAAATTCTAATGTAAAATGTAATGATGTTAGTGGATTCCGCAAGCTCTAAGCGGATCTCGCAAATGCAAGCGGATTCCGGAAAATTTTTATTACAATCTAATGAACATAATTTTATTGTAGATTCCACCAACTGTTGCGGGTTCCGCAAACTTTGTGGAGCGATTTTTATTGATTCAGTGTTTTAGCTAGTTGATCGTTGAATCCAAAACAGCAAAGAAGCTGAAAGAAAACTAGCAATGTTGAGGATGACGCAACAATCTGTTTTCGGATTGTTGCTGAATTTGCTCAAAATTCACAAATTACACATTTTGGTCTCGTAATAGATTAGGACATTTAGGACAACTAAAAAACTCATTAAAATTTTTTTTTAATCAAAAGCTTACATAAATTATTTGAACAAGTTCAGGCGGATACAGTTTGTTAATTTGATTGAAATAGATTTTTAATCATTCGGGGCTTCATCTCGATATGAATAGTCCTGTTTCATATGGTTCAAAAGTGTAAGGTATTTAAGCAAACGATTTATTAGTGGAATACAAATCGAAGTTTTTTCAGTTTTTTGCGTGTTTGGAGACCATAACTTAGCCTCTTTGATCTATCAGCAGATTTGTCAGCAAATTGCTCAATAGATACTATGACAGTTCTTTGCTGATGTCTTCTAATATAGGGGACGATAAATACGACGACATCAAGTTAAAAGGAACTAACAAAACTGCTCGTTTCTGAGCAAAACTGTGTGCGGAGTGTTCCGATTACTCTTAAGTAAGAAGTCAAAATTTATAGTAAGTTAGAACTTGAAAAATAGAAAAAAAAATGAGATGTTTTTCAGATGATTTCAGAAAATATTCCCACACACGCTATGTTATCAACGAAGTGAGTGATGCTTTAAGCGCCCAGCAAGCAAAATTAGTTCCATGTAGTTTGTATCATTTTAATTTGAAACGATTTCTGAGCCAGATTAATCGAAACATATCGCCGGACTAAAGAAAAAATTGAAAACTTCGCGCGTTATTTGCTCAAATTAGCCAAATTTCAAACGACATAATTAAGAAAAATGATTACAGATGAGTAATTTTTCAGTTTTAAGCTCAGGACGTCACTAGTTTTCAAATGGTAGGAAAACTCGAAACAAAAAAATGGTATTAGAATAACATTTCGTTCAAAACGAACCAACTGTGCGCATCTTTCGCAATAAGGATGGGGACAAAACTTTTTAAACGAAAATTAACTATTCAAACATACAAAAAGTCTATTTTATCTCAGTGCCCTATAACGAATTAACAAATTAAACACAAAAGCTTGTATCGGAGTTGAATGGTTCATTTTTGAAATGCGTAAATGATTTACAATTGATCATTTTGGGTTTTTAATAAATTGATTTGCGGTCAAGAATTTTCAACGAAAATTCAATTGTTCTGACCGTTGAAAATGGGGAGGAACTTTGTATTCGGGCGTGTTTTAGTTTTTTTTTCTACGCAGAACCAGCTAACACAAATAATCATTGGACATGGTTAGTGATAAATCATTTTAAAGCTCTTTTATTCGTTTATTTGAACATTAAAAAAGTTCAAAAACATTTTCAGTGTCGAGAAAAACCGGTTTGAAATTTTTGATTTTTGGTCTAATTTTGAGTCAATAAGTGAGGTAGTTATTAGTTGCAATAGCTTATTTAAGCTTAATTTAAGCCTTGAAAACTTAGTTTTACTCAAATAAAGATAGTTTTTGGAGTTTTTTGCGCAATTTTTGGAATGAAAAATTTGAAAATTCAAAATTGTCCGCAAAAAAAATTGAAATTTTTTGTGAAATTTTTTTCAATTTTTTTAAGAGTTTTTCTAGTCATTTTTCGTCAAAAACTGTTTTCCAATTGACTTATTTTTCTATGACTCTCAAATATTTCTAAATTCTAATTTTTTTTTTCAGTTTGAGAAACTTTTTTATATTTTTTTCGACTGTGTCGGAACATTCTGTGCTACTTGCACAGTAACCGGTTATGCTTAATATAGTTTGTAAACAATTTTCGCTCATGGTACAAGTTTTTTAAGTAACCGTTTATCCTTGTTGTAGTCAGCAAACAATTTTCGCTCATGGTACAAGTTTATTTGCGTCTCTTTTCTCGGAATTTTTCCGACATTAAAAAAATGGGGAAGAATTTTGTATTTGGATGTGTTTTAGTTTTTTCTATTATTTTTGTTTTCCACGCTAAATCAAGTATCATAATTAATCATCTGATCGGGTCGAATGATATAGCATAATAAATTCCTTCCAGTAATAATTCGGAATTCATCAAAAATTTTCCAAAAATTGTTCCCAGTTTTGAGAAAAACAGGTTTTAATTTTTTGTTTTATGTCTAATTTTGATTTAAAAAATGCTAGCAGTATGTTTTGTAGTGTATACTTTATTATAGAAAGTTAACCGCAACTTAGTAGTGAATAAAGCAATGAATTTTTGATTCAAGCCCTGAAAAATTCAGCAAAAAAGTTTTTTCAACGCCATCTCGGGTACTAAAAGCTTCAAAAAGACAAAAAACGAACTTCAGCAAAATAATTGAAAATCTTTTAGTTTTGTTTCATTTTTTTGATATTTTATGAGTAATTTTTCGAAGAGCATTTGTTTTCACTGTGAATATTGCAAATGCCCCAAATTTATTCTTTCTTTCAGATCCTTCCATCACACCAGACACAAAAAAAACCGAAATTAATTTAAAGAAAAAACTTTTTTGTAGTTTTTTTCAGAACATGATCGGGAATTTCTTTGTTATTTGCACAGCAACTAGCTCTCCATGTTGTAGTTTTGCTAGCACTTCTTAATTCCTTTCAATTGTTCGCTTACAGTTTGTGTTTTGTTTAATCTAGTTTGCTTTGTCTAGTTTACTCGGATTTTATTTTATGAAGCTTGCTCGCAAGATAATATTTTTTGCTCTTCAATTCAGAAGAGGGATCAGGACGATCAAGTTAGCATATCTTCTCTAAAGAGCATAAGTTGAGATTCTCCACTCCACTATTTGTTTTGTGTCTAAATTGCTTATTGCTGCGTGAAAAATCCTTGATTACGAATGACAGATTATTCCAATTCCAGCTACTAACGAAGGCACCAATCTCCCGGGAGGATGCGAACTTGGTCCTAGAAGTGTATTTTTTTCCTTATAGTGTATATCAAATGTTTTATTAACGCATATTTAGCCCTCTTTTTATGTTGATTATCCCTTTTCAGACTATTCATGACTGCGAAATTTTTCATGAAGTCATATTTTTCCAGATTTTTGGTTATTTGTTGTTTGGTCTTTTAAATGTAAAAATTTATATAGTCGACCTTTTTGCGGTTTTATGTTTTGATGCAGACCTAAAGCGCTGTGTGTTTATCGTAGATATTTATCACACCTTGGTCAAAGCGTTCGACATTTGCTGCAAAATTTGTTTCATTATATAAAATTTGTTTTCATGGGTAATCGGGATAAAATCATCATACGAGATGCCTTAGGTAAACCATCAAATATGCTCTGCCCTTAATTAAAACCCTTTTGCGTTTTTAGGTATTTTGATTTTCAAAGGTTGCTTCACGTTCAAATTGCCCATAAATCGAATCATCAATCTCTGATATCAGAATGAACGGATGACCTAGCTATTTCACCATCTCAGATGTAGTTTGAGTTCCTATGGTGTTTTAGAAAACGACAAGTTTCAATATCGAGTGTCATTTTAAATTAAATTTGTTTCATTTATACGCATATAGCTCTACTATGTTCTTCAGATGAATGTAAGATAATCTCTCGGCTGATGAAATCACATTTCAATTTTCTTTGCTTCTTGGCACCTGCTATCCCGTAAACAAAACGAGGTAGAAGTATAATTTTACCAATTCTCTGCATTGCATTTTGTTATGGTTTTCTTAGAGAACTTCTTCCGACCTTCCATTTTTAGTACTTGTGGCTCTCGGCTCCTCCGCGACCGAATCCTCCTGGGCCGAACAGAGCCGAGTAACAAGGCTGGTTGCAGTAAGGCTTGCCTAGATGAACACACAAACTTGTTATTCTTGGCGTGTAAAATGAGTCATTTTGAAGAAGACTATTTATTTCATCGGATAATATGCGCCCCAAAAACAAAGAAATAATTGTAGCTGCAGATCTAAATAACTTCAAAAACTTCTCGAAAGTCAATCTTTAAAAAACGGAGCTTGTGGTTTTTTTCATCCCATAACCAATATCAGGTATCGCCATTTTTCTAAGCAGAAAAAAAACCGTCTCTTAGATTTGAAATCTAACAGGCAGGTGATGTATATTTTTTAATATAGTGGCAATAGAGCTTTTACTGAAGCTTGAAAAAAAACTAAAATAATTAAAACATCAATAAAATATGCTCATCGATTGTTTTGTTATATTTAGATGAAAAACTTAAAATTCGCTGACTCATCTCATACCGTCATGTTCTGCGTGCCCTCCACTTGTCAATGTCTTCTTGCACTTCTCGCATTTGAGACAGGGTCGGTGCCAATCCTTCCCCAGTGAAGACACTTTTTCTGCGAAGTAGACCACCTTTCCACAGTTAGGACATTGAGGGCTAGGCATTTAATCGTAGCTTCTACTAACTTTTTGTGACCATAAACACGCTTTCAACTGCTACTTTTGGTTGTAACAATTAGTTTAATTTTGTCGGCTCAAATAAGCTGGACGTGTGTAGCAGAGTAAAACAAAAAACTAGCATGAAAAACTGAAACACAAAATGCAAATGAAATCATAACCAAAATTTTTATACACAATAAAAAGTTAATTTAAATTGTAATTTTTGTTACGCTTTTTACAATTTTTGCTACAATCAGTGTTTTTTTTTCAGCCATTACCGGTCCAGGACTGACTGAGTCGACCCGTTTTGATAACTATTTCACTCCATTTGGCACCAAGCAACGAATAACCACTCCATGATGAACTAATTCAACTGTTAAATATATGCGATATTTTTCCTGTTACCGAATCTCCACCTTTTGCAAAAAGGGGGTTATAGATCAACAGATCCGATTGACTTAACTGATCGCTACTGCTTCAAGGATGACTGGCCTCGTTGCATGCGTGCGCATGCAAAATCTAGCGCAATAACATTTGAGTTTGTTAACTTAAATTTGCAACCTAAACTTAAACTGATGCGTGCCGCATCAAACTGGGTTTTTTTTATAATTGCCCATGCTATGCGGCTCGCATGCAAGTCCCTGCGCCCCACCTCAAAATTACACAAACCGAAATATATCAAAATGTTAAGCTGACAAAATATATCACGCTCTGATTTGTTTTTTGTTTTAATAAGTTAATTTATGCATCATTGGTCTGCAAGCACTAATGCTTAAACGACCCAGTTTCTTAAACGCACAAGTGAATCCAAATTTTGGCGATTTTTGCCTGCCGATTTTAGCGGTCCTTGCTGCGCGTTTGACAATCAACTAAAATTCGCTTTAGATTCCATCAAGCGGACGATATTATCAATTTTTCTACGCAGCTTTTTTTTGGCTTTCGTAAGAAGGAAGGTTTTGATATCTGATAACCAACCCTCTGTGCTGATGTTGTTGAATTTATTTGTAATTGAGTTTCAATTGTTTAAAAACTTTTCCGGAAAACGTTATTGAAATAAAAATGAGATCATTTTTTTCAGAATCTTTCTACTAATTTTTTTGTGTTTTTGAGCATCTCATTTTTCTGCATGCGCTTTGAAAGAGCAAAACTGCGTCCGCTCGTCTTGGGGGATATTGTTTTTGCTGATAATAGTCTATAATTGTTTTGACCTGATGTCTTTTGTCTCTTCTTATGACGACACAAGTATGGGGAGCAAAATGTTTTTTTGCAGCATTTTTAGAATTCGAAAAACCATTCAAACCTGTGCATGACTTTTATTCGACAGAGATGGGTTTCGAACCCACGCATGGACATCTTATTGTTTTAGCTGTCAAATACCTTAACCACTCGGCCACCCTGTCCTTTGAGTACAGCGTTAGTGAAACTTTTGCTATATCGTAATCTGAGTGATTGAGTTTCAACTGAAAAATTACGTCTAAAGTGTTAACTCGTTAAGTTTTAGTGTATTCCAGGAAAATCTATTCACAGCTGTGGTCATTATAAGTTTCAGGGCCTAATTTCAGGAAACTCAAATTTGCGGTGGAAAATTTGTTAATTGATGCTCAAATTTTTAATCCAATTTCTTAAACGGTCCAGTTTATTAAATGCAGAAAACGTCCAGATCTTGGTGCAGACCTTTGACGTACTTGCCGCGCGTTTGACAACAAATAAAGTATGTTTTGAATTACATCAAGCGGCTGCTTTCATCATGTGTTTCGTACACAGCTTTTTTGCCTTCTGTAAAATTGAAGCGTTTGATTATTGATAAAAAAATTTGTGATGATGTTGGTGAAATATTTTGTCTTGGAGCTTTATTTGTTTAAATGTCAAACTAAGTCATTCATGCTGCTTTTGAAGTTTGTGGGAAAATTGTACAGATTTTTTGTAGGATGTAGTAGGAGACAACAACCTGAATATGAGATAATTCTATTTGTAAGAGTTGGTTTTGAAGTAGATTTGTCATCTACGGAAAACCTAGTGGTTTGTATACTCCTCATAAACGCTCCTTGTCGTCTTTTTTATTTTAAGAAAAATAACACTTTTTCATATTCATTTCTGAAGCTATTTTTCTCACTCTTCGGGAAACGTTACTTTGAAATATAAATTAGATCAGTTTTTTCAGAATCTTTCTATCAAATTCGTTTGGTTTTTTTTGCTTCTCACTTTTCTGTATGCTCTTTGAAAATACAAAATTAACTCTTTTTATTTTATGAAACTCTGTCTTATGCTGATGATAAATTATGATTGTTCAGTTCAGATGTCTTGTTCTTTTTTTAAGAAATAAGTATGCAAATCGAAATGTTTTTTTTTTGAAAAAATTTTCCGATTCAAAAACCATTGAAAAATTCCTGTAACTCTTAACTGACAGATGAGATTTGAACCCACGTAAAGAAAGTTATTTGCAGTCCAACGCCTTAACCACTCGGCTACAACACGAGGTGTTGGGAATTTATCACGCTTTTATTTGAGTATTTTTCTACAAAGTCTTTTCACAGCTGTAGTCACTATTTGTTTCAAGGCCTTCTTTTTTTCTATTTTCTATACAGCTTTTTGGCTTCTTTAAGATGGAAGTTTTTGATATCTGATAATTAACCATTTGTGCTGCTGTTGGTGAAATGTTTCGATTTTGCGCTTAATTTGCTTAAACTAATTTGCGGAAATTTGGTAATTGAAAAAAAAAAACGAGTCCAATTTGTTTCAGAATTTTTCTACTAAATTTTTTGTGCTTTTGAGCTTTTCAATTTTCTGTATGCTCTTTGAAAGAGCAAAATTGTGTCTGCTCGTCTTGATAAGTATAGTTTTTTGCTGATATTATTGCTGATACGAGTTCAATTTGTTTCAGAATTTTTCTACTAATTTTTTTGTGCTCTGAGCTTTTCAATTTTCTGTATACTCTTTGAAAGAGCAAAAGTGTGTCTGCTCGTCTTGATAAGTATAGTTTTTTTGCTGATATTGTTTTTTGATTATTTTGATCAGATGTTTTTCTCTTTAGTTTCACAAAAATTCAGAGCGAAATGTTTGGTTTTTTGCAAAAATTTTCAGATTCGAAAAGCCATTCAAAGTTGCATATGATTTATAATCGGCAGAGATGGGATTCAAATCCACCCACGGAAACTGTTTTGGTTTAGCAGTCGAAAGCTTTAATCACTGGGCTACTCGGTAGCATTTAGTTCATAATATCAAAAGTTCACAGAATTGAATCTCAACTGAAAGTTTGCGTGTAATGGATTAACTCATAAATTTTTAGTGTTTTTCAGCAAAATCCCAATTGTGGTAATTATGTGTTTTGAGGACTGTTCTTAGGAGATTTAGGTTAACCAGGAATTTTCAATTGTTCCTTTAAAATTTTTATTCATTTTTAAAATGGTTCAGTTCACTAAGCGCAGAAAGAAATTCAGTTCTTGACGATTTTTTTGACTGCAGACCTTTGAGGTACTTTGCTGCTTTTTCGACAATCAAATAAAGTATGTTTTTCTTACACAATTTCTTTTGGCTTCTTTAAGATTGAAGCGTTCGATTTCTGATAAACAACTTTTTGTGATGAAATGTTTTGCTTTGGAGCTTTAATTGCTTAAACTTCGAATTAATTCATTCATGCTGCATTTTAACCTTTTCTAAGAATGATAGGGATTTTTTCTTGGGTTTTGTAGTACGATATGGATTTTTTTGCAGGAAATGATTTTGAAGAAACCCTTTGTCATACACGGAAAACCTAATGGTTTGCACACTCCCCATCAGCGCAGCTTGTTGTCTTTTTGAATGCTTAAAACACCTTGATTTGTTCTATTCCAATTTTTATTTTTTTTTGCTAGTAAGTTAAAAAAAGAAAAAATGTTTCAGGTTCTTTCTACTAAATTTTTCGTGTTTTTGACATTCTCAGTGTTTTGTATACTCTTCGAGCAAGCAAATTTATGTTCACTCATTTTTTACAAAAAATTGATCAGATATTTTTTGTCTCTTTTGTTTGAAAACACAAGTATGCAGAGGGAAATGTTTTTGTAAATCAAAATATGCATTTCGAAAAACATTTTCAACTTGCACATGAATAATAATTGACAGATATGCGCTTTGAACCAACGCACGGTAATGGTATCTGATAGGCAGTCCAACTTCCTAACCGCTCGCCTACCCTGTACTTGGGGAGGTTATCATTAAAATCATTTTGATTATACCAAAATCTTTTTGTTACATTTTCAACTGAAAATTTGGTGGTAACGGATTAACTCATAAAAATTTAGTTTTTTTCAGCAATTTTTTTTCATAACTTTGGTCATTATATGTTGGAGGGCCTTCTTTAAAGGAACTTAAATTATTTGCAGGGAAAATTTTTCGATTAAACTCAAAACTTCAATCCTTTTTCTTAAGCGGCCCATTTTATAAACGCAGAGAAAACAAAACAGTTTTTGATGATTTTTTTGCCTGCAGATCCATGACTTTCTTCACTGAGGCTTTGACATTTGAAAAATTTACGTTGTGGTTTTCATCAAGCGGGCGCAATTAACGTATTTTTTTACTCTGCTTTTTTATGGAAACGTTTGATATCCAAAAAACAAATCTCGGTGACGCTGTTGGTTCCTTTTTCGTAATTGAGTTTTTTGAAAGTTCAAATTAACTCTTTTAAGCTGCATTTGAACCTCGTGTAAAAATTGCAGTTGTTTTTTAGTATATTGTAGGAGAGATTATGCTGAAGACTAGATAGATACTTTTGTAAAAAAAAATTGATTTTGAAGAAGTCCTTCGTCAATTGCGAATAACCTCATGGTTAGCGTACTCCTCATCAGCGCACCTTGTCGTCTTTTTGAGTGTTTGGGACACATTGCTTTTTCTGTTCACTAATGTGGAAATGTTTCGTTGAAATAAAAATGCGATCATTTTTTTTTCAGAATGATACTGCTGATTTTTTTTGGAGCTTCTCAGTTTTGTAAGCTCTTTGAAATAGCAACATTAAATCCGCTGATCTTGTTAAAT